CCAATCCTATGCACTACAATCTAAGGAAAAGCAAGTACAACATTTCAATGGGCTATAAAACTGCATACGCAAAACTTTTCGCAAAACTCTTAAAAAAAGTGCAAAATTTTGGCGAAAATGCGCTGAATTTTTTATATTTGCACAAAGTTTGAAATGTGAATTTGTATGGTGTGTGTTTGTTATAGAATGAACTATATTTTTTTAAGAAAATATTTAAAAATAAATAATATAAAAATAAAAAGCTGTTTTGTATTGGATTAAACAGGCCTGCGAAATCTAACTTTTCCCCGTTCCAATAATTATGTTATATTTTTTTAATATCTAGGTCCACACTTAAATTGTCCTAATTTTTAGCAGATTTTTGCCATGAAAAAAAGGTTAAGCCTTCTGTAATTAGTAGTCGAAAACTGATAACAAAACATTTTTTCTAACATGTTGAATATCTTCTTTCTGTTTAATTTATTTGGTTAAAATCTTATTTTTTAGGCGAATGCCGAAAAAGTGCAAGTTCCTGATCAGGTGCACGACTGAGGGGTCATACATAAATACTACCCAGTAGATAATATCAGGAGCTAAAATCGTATCCAAAAGGTTTTCTGAAAGTAATTCCTTTCTCCTTCATTTTTTGTATGGAGCGGCACAAATTGAAAGGCTTCTGCTACTCAAAAAAGAGCTTTCAGAAGGGCTTTTGTAGGACGCCGTTTGAAGAAGTTCTTTTAAAGTTTTTCTTAATTTATAAAAATCATACTTTAAGGAATTTATTTAATTTAATGCCTATTGAATCTTATTTGTAATGCTAAGTAATAAACATAAATATACTTGAGAGATTTTCACTCATATGGTAGGCAATAACTTTCACCTGTGGAGACGCGTCGTTAGCTAGTCTTTCAATGTTGTAAAGGGTAAAATCCCAACAAACATTTAGGTTTGAGCTCAATTCGAGGTTAATTGAGAACTAAGGTATTTCTCAAATCTCCAATGTTGTTTCTCAACAGTACCTCAAGTGGAGGATCATAGCGTTCTCAACAAAAAGGGCATTTTTCTTTGTATGAAAAAATTACTGTTTCTCAAGTTGAGAAAATGCTAGTTCTCAACTTGAACTCTAATGTAATTCTCCAATTGGTCTCAAACATATCATTGAAATACTGAAATTAAAATAGTAAAATACATTATACCTTTTTGATTGAAACGACATACATAGATGAATTTAAATATTAATTTTTCATTTTATTACTCCTTTTGTAGTTAATCAATATAGAATTACAATAATTCACTTCACAGTATACAGGCCGACAGTAATTTTACCACTTGATTCACTTCGAGTTTTATCTTCTCTCAAGATTATTTGAGGATACTTTGAAGATTATTTACTTTTTGTTGGTAATTTTCGTCTTTATATAGCTTTCGTTTTTTACTTGATAATTAAAAATTTTTGCACTATTACTTTTTGCGTATCTGCGCGTCGGTTAGAGATGAGTTAGAGAATGATGTTGGATATCAACTTGAGAACTATGAATTTCTCCAAGGTTGGAGAAATATTTTGTTGGTGTTTATTGGGATGTTATTGATTAAGGCTAAAAGGCGGTTACACTGTTCAACTTTCACAGGCGATTAGTTGAATCAAAAGTTTACATCATTTAACTGCAATTTAAACAATGTATACGCCTATTAAATACAATGAATGTGTACGATTGGAAAATAATAATATTTTGAACGAAACTTTTCGAAAATTTCATTAATGCTATAAAACTCGAAAAGGAGGGTAAGGAGGACATTTTTGCTCAAAAGGAGAACAGAGAAGGACAAAATTTTTGAGGAGGGCAAATCACGTTTGAGGAGGACAATCCTCCTCAAAGGAGGACGGTTGGTCAGCTTAGCAATGAACAGTATTGTCAAGTAAAAAAGAATGACAATTTATTTAACAAGGTTTTTCAGTGGGAAAAATAAGAAAATAAGTAAATTTAATTTTCTTTAAGGAGCTAAGGAGAAAATGAATTTTTATAGCTTTTTGCTCCAGCTCCGCTCTACCCAAAATCTTTTGCTCCTTTGCTCTGCTCCGCTCCGAAGCCCTACTTTTTTAGCCCTTATTGGGTAAGTCTCTTAGAATGGCTTCACTTAAGATATCTTCTGGTTATACATACACGAAATGGAAAATGTGATCATGAAGATGCGCTTCATATATAAGATATGTAGAAATTTGCTAATGGTGGTAAGGCAAAGCATTCAAGACTGCGTGAAGGCGCCAAATATTTTTCCAAGTTACATCAAAGTCAAAGGAAATTTGTTCTTTTATAATTTAAAAATTTTGAGCGTTTCACCACATCATTCAGCTGTACGGATTGTGCCACAAAACTGCATTGCTTATAATATCGGAAATTACTTCAAAACAGGGACCAAAAATAAGAGGCGCCACGCCCCCTTATCCGAAATCAAGCAAACTTCACATATTTAAACCATCTGCATGATAGCCCGAATATGCCGCATAAATTTGGTTGAAACCGGTGAAGCCGTTCTCAAGTTATATGGTCACACCAAAAACGTTCACTTATTTTTATATTTTAGTTAGTATTGGTGGTGCCACGCCCCCTTTTCCGAATTCGGGAAAACTTTGCATAAACCATCTGCATGATAGATCGAATATACCACATAAATTTGGTTGAATTCGGTGAAGCCGTTCTCAAGTTATGAGGTCACACCAAAAACGTGCACTTATTTTTATATATAAGACTAGCTATACCCTGCCACGCTTTGCTGTGGCATTCCTGTTACATGGATGATAAATTATTAACGAAACAAAGCATACGTTTCATATGAGTTTGATTTTGTAATAAGTACTTGTGTGCACATAATATTTGTCGTGTTTCCCATCTCTGCATTGATATCAAGGATATCTGGTTTGCCGACACGGGAACACGCAACATCTAAGAACTAATCCGCATCTCACTCTAAACCACACTTTTCCAAAGGATAACCTTGAGCATTAGTGATTGTGATTCCGAATGTCAATCGAATTGGAAATTGCAGTCTTTAAAATTGAAATCGTGTATCGGTCGGAATCATGGGAATTCTTCACCTTTGAAAGGCCACGTAAAAATCTTTACTTACTCTACGTTCTTCATCAATTTCTTAACTGCGAGTCGCGTACAGTTGCGGAGTTTTAGCTGATTAATATTCCGCAACGTGATATTTGGCACACCTATTTTCAATTCAGTATGTGGGGTCATCCCTGGAAGATCAATCGAGCTCAAAAATTCCGTTGGATAATTAACTGATTCGTCTTTTTCCACAACGGTGTTTATCGACGTATATGTTATTATTAAAGCGACTTATGCATTTCCCGCTTAAACAAAGAACAGCGAACACACAGATGCACTTGTTTTTAAAGGTACTTCGCTCGTGTTTAATTGGGTATGAATTTTTTATGTAATTCTGAAATATCTCTTCGCTGAACTTAGTGAAGTGATACGTCGCTGGCATTTTCAGCTATAGTCAACGCTAACCCAGCTTGGCTGTCACACGGTACTTTGATCATCACCGACACTCCACTCCCGGGGTAATTTTTGGCATGGTATTAAGCTACTGCTTACAAACCACACTGGGGCTCTGCACGAATGCATCCCTGGATAAATCCCAGCTCATTGCCCAGCAGGCTAAGGCAGCTAGAGTATGACTACTCCAATGGAGTCCCACAATGAATACACGGTGAAACGGTCACATCTTGCGCCACCGCTTCATCAGCCTGCCCGCATATCTCTCTCTCTCTCTTTTTCTCTCTCGCATATCAGGCATATGAAGTGCGTAGCTGACTTGATGTGCACCTATAAACCATACGGACTCATTGAGCTCGATACACAAACACTCGCAAAGGTAATCCCTACCTCCCCAACTACTCTAACTCGACCACAACTCTAAACCTGGGCTCGAATCGTCACATACGAACAAAACGTCACGTCGTCACGTAAAAACAAATTTTTCAGATTATGACGTACGTGAACATAGTCTTTGTCTCATTCAGCTTATACTGCCTGACATATCACGTAATTTTCTTTCGTATGGTTTTCGATCCGTGAACGGACGTTACGATTTGAGCCCTGGTCTCCCGCTCTCCCTTAGCTAAACAGTTGTCACTTTGAATGCTGGATTGAATAACATTAGTGGTGTTCACCAA